TTTAGTTTTACATACGAAAATGGTTTTTATACAAAACAAGATTATAATATGTAAGGCGCATCATTCATAAAATTTGTACAATTATCATATAGTTATACACATCTGGTAATCTACTGTAGTACCATAAATAGTAGTTTTCTTTGCACTGTTGTGTATTGTCCTATATGACGTTTATTTAATAAACGTTACATAGAAGTTACTTCGCATTTGAATATATTTGTGTACTGTCCGAATATTATCGTAAACATGATTTGAATGTTATATTTGTAGGTATTCACATTCATTTGTTTTTTATATGATGCTCAAATTGAATATTAACTGATACGTGACTTTAATTCTAAAATGAAACAAATTAATATTTATATTGAGTTCTTAAATTTTTTGTAAGAATAGATCATAAATTTGTTAATATACTGGTATATTTGATTATATAATTCTACAATATTGTAAATTTGTGCTTTACACAAATAATTTTAGAATTTTCCACGATATCCTCCACGGCCACGATAAGGTCTTCCTCCCGAATGCTTTCCTCTGTATATATGTGGTTTTATGAGAGGGCTGGATCTTCCTCTCATCATTTTACCTCTTCCATGCCAATCTGATCCTCTTTGGAATGTATGCTCCATTTCTAGTTCTTCTGCAGAATCTTCTAACATCATAGGACTTTCACCACGACTATGATCACTTCTGTTGTCATGAAAATCATCACGTTCATTCAAGGAATGCCTGTAATTAGGCGAATACCTTTCACGAACGTAATGGTCGCGCATGGATCCCTTATGACTGGGAAAACTATCCCTATTTCTTATTGGTGAATTGTGATCGAGAGAAGATGCGGAGTCAACACGATGGTCACGATCATCGTTTCTTCTAGGAGGTGATAATGTTCTACTCCAAGGTCTTTTTTGAGATGAATTACTTAAACTCCACCTCAAATCATCAGCTTCTCGATATTTAGGTGTGTAATCAAATGTTTCACGCACGTTCCAATCTAAACGATCCATAATGGGTCTTTTTTCTTCCTTATTTATATGTTGTAAATCTTGAGGGTAAACTTGTACTTCAAAATCTACCATGGTAACAGTTGCTTGAACAAATTTCGTGTTTGTTTCTACTTCATCAGTTTGACAAATTTTTTGATGCATTTGTACATTTTCTTTCTTTGGAGAAACATGTTGGCCACCTTCCTCCTCTTCCCAACATATTTTACTCTTGCTTCTTTGCAAAAGTATGGAGTTCGATGAATATTCTTCTTGTTCGTTTTGTACATTCTCCTTTATAGGATCATAGAAAAATCGCCCTTTCATTTTTAAGCGGAGGTCTTCGGTAGGAAGTTCGCGCAGGGCATGTTCACAATGGCGCAATATTTCAGGTTTGAATCCTATTACAGTAAGAAATATAAATTTACGCGGACTCCATATTACATTTTTTAAAATACTTTGTGTGTTTATTTGAAATGTTGAAATTGTATATAAAATATGATTATTGTTATGTTACTATTCATTAACAAAATTTTAAGGCTTTGAAGTGTAGAAATATCCTTACCTGGATATAAGACTGGTAGAGTAGCAGAATCTAAAAAGTGTATAACAAAATTAAAACAAAACTGCAATATGTAAGTGTAAACTATTGCAACAACTAAATAAGAAATATATTCACACCTTTTGCGGAAACAGATGCTTCCAATAGACTGGATAAACTCGTCTTTTCAAACTGCTGTAAGGTGAATTCATAAGACAAATATTATTCTTTTAGGGTAAATATGGAATATTTAACTGCAGACTATGTGAAAAAAGCACACAAAATCTGGTAATAGGATAGTATAAAGCATGAAACGTAAATATGTTTAAAAAAAACATTGTTATAATGTGTAATGAAATTACTTTTGTATCAGAGATGACTGGTGGTTCAGGAGTCTTTAGTCGTTCCTCTTTTGAAGCATGATATCCATTATAAGAATCTCTGAAACTACGTTCTCTGTAGGATGGAGATATTTTCTCCCTGGATTTATTTGGAAACTCAAAATTTTGAATTGGTGATTGTCGTGTAGGAGGAATGCCGTGCGATGAATTATATGTTGTCGGTGGGTGGTCCATAGGCCCTGCAGCAGGCTCTGGTTGTGGCGAAGATATCGGTGCTGGAAGAAGCGGTGGTCGATGTGAAGGCTGAATTGAACTTGTATTTGGTTGATTGTACATCACTGGGCCAGAAACGTATTCCGTTTGAGGTAACGGATGTAAGGGTACAGGTTCAAAATTCATTGGTTGAGATGAATTTTCGAAGTTCATGAATGGGCCACCTGATGCAACACCTGACGACATTGGTGGTGGTGGTGGTGGAGGTAATCCAGCTTGATGCATGTAAGGCGGCATAGGTAATGGTGGCCTAGAATCTCCTTCTGGTTGATATGGAACAGTATTCATCAATGGTGTTATACCATCCATTGTTGGAGGAGGTGCATAACCAGTATTTATATGTGTTGTTACTATTGCTTCATTTCTTAGTTGTCTTGTAAGTTCATTAATAAAAGGTGATCGTTTTCTTGTACGACGTTCTATTGATCTACTTCGACTCCGACTTCGACTCCGCCGACGTGGACTATAACGTCTAACCGGAGAACGGCTGACTTTTCTTCTAATGCGTTCCATACTGCGGCTTCGTTGTCGATCTCGTGATCGACTTCTTCGGCTTAACAATTTAAAAGTTGAGTTAAAATACTCTATTAGGTAAGTTACAAATTTATTAAAATTTTTGTTATAATTTTATAAAAATACGATTCTTACATAATGTTTGGATTGTATAAAGTCGTATTTTACAAGAAAAATTGACAAAGTATATATTATTTTCTTATTAAAACTACAATGAAAGTAAAGAAAATATGATATACATTTTAAAATCATGTCTTCTCACCGTTCATGTATATTAGTACGTCTTCTATGTCGTTCAGCACTCCATCTTCTGTCTGCACTCGTTCTTCGTTCCCAACTGACACGTCTAACTGGGCTCCTTCGTCGATCTGGACTGAATGCAAAAGGGCTTCTACGAATACAGTTGAATCTTGGGCTTCTTCTTTTGTCAGGACTGAACCTCATTGGACTTCGATGTCTTTCAATATTCATCTTGAAAGGACTTCTACATCGGTCAGGACTTACTAATAATGGCGATTTTCGACGTGGAGAATTTAAAGAATTCAACCTAATCCTATCTGGAGTTCGTCGTCTTAATGAATTTCCTCCTTGGCGTTCTAAGCTCCTACGTCGTTCACGGCTCCTGCGAATATGCATCTGCGTTTGTTCTAAACTTTGTTTCTCTGCTATGCTTTGAATAGCTTCAACTTCTGTACCAGGTGGAACAACATTATCAGAATCCAATAAATGCTTAATAGCTTTTTCTTTTTCAGCTAAAAGTTTACTTTCATTGTCCCTCTTTGTACGTATTTTGTCTCTTTCTATATCCTTTGTGCTTTTGGAAGGATCACGGCGTATTTCTTCATGTTTTTTCTCTTCTCTCTTTGGTCTTTCACGATTATATGATCCTTTATAGTCACGACGATGTCTGTCCCTATAAGTAGGCTTGCAATCATTCTTTCCTACATATTACTACTTATTTAAGGGAAAGTATGTAAATTCTTTTAAGTGTATTGAATAGAATAAGGTGACAAAATAATATCTTATTGAAAGTTATGCACAACCAAAGTATAAGGAACTTGAATTCTAATATTATTTTAATAACATTGTATAACAAATTTAGTTAATCTGCAATAAATAATAACAGTTGGGACATTATTCTATGTTATTGATGCTACCTAGAAGGACGTTTTTGTTCTTGTTCCTTTATGTGAGAAGTTTTGGGTTCAACCTCCTTCTTTTCTTCATCACCTTCCCAGGCATCAACGACATCCAAACCTTCCATGAAATCTTCATCGTCAAGAAATTCTTGAAGTTCTTCATCTGGAATCTCTTTTAAACCTTCAATTGCACGCTGTACATCTTCATTTGTACTCTTTAATGTAGATTCTTTTTTATCAACACTTTGTTTTTCCATCATTTCATTTTGCACATTGTTTTTGACACTTGTATTTTTCATTTTTTTGGATGTATCACACATATTTCTGAAAGATTAACTAAATAGCTGAATTAATTAAATAAATAGCATAAAATATCATTTTTTTTATTGATAAGATCACAAAATATTTTAAAAAATGGTTTTTGTGGTTATCAAAACTGAAATTGATTAAAAATGTGCAAAAAAGCTATATAGTGTTATTGTATTAATCCTGAGTTTTGAAATTCGCGTAAGTGGATCCAAGAAATGTATTAAAATTAACCGTACTGTTGCACAGTATCAATGTATTAAAACGAATTATACTTACATAAAATTCACATTATCCGGTTTATTTAACTTAACTTTTTTACTNCCGTACTGTTGCACAGTATCAATGTATTAAAACGAATTATACTTACATAAAATTCACATTATCAGGTTTATTTAACTTAACTTTTTTACTTGCAGGCTACGTAAAATTATACTGATTTTTCAATATATTGAATCTCAAATAATAAATGCACCTCTTAACCTTTCGATGAAACATATAAAATTGATATTAACACTTTCATTACATAAGTCGCATTATCTTTATTTAGAATCAAAATAATTTAAAAAATTGCACATTGCTTTATTTTCTAATGGCGTTTATCATACATTCCTTTTTAAAATTGTGATTAGTTGCTTGCTAGTAGGCTGATTTAATGGATAACGTACGCACTCATTGTTAATAATACTTAGTGCAAGTAAGTTCGCAACATGTGGCGTCTATAATCATATTAATGTATATCGATAATAGCAGAAATGAATAACAACTAACTTGATGCTTTTTAAATTCTATTATGTAGAAATATTTAAATCCGAGATCTCCGGAACTCGAAAAGTCAACATGTACCTATTCCGCCATATTAGTTACTAACATATTTGGGGTACAGTACGCATAAAACAGGGGCATACGCGTACCCAGTTTTACTCATAAATAAATTAATAAAAGAAGCAATACAAGGTTAAGTACTTTGACAGAAAAATGTTTAATTGATATTGTTATGGTTTCATTAATAGCTTATTTTCCAATTCTCGACATCTTATCCTTGATTCGTACTTATCACTTGTAGTATTTATATAAAAATAAATTAAAATTTACAGTACAAAATAGATGAGGCTACATAAAATGAAAATCATTTTTAGCTTGAAAAAAAAAACGAAATACTTAATTTTATATAGTTTTTATTATAATAAATCTTCAAAGTTCATTATTTTATTGAAATCAAGACTTAATATTGTAACTAATTTTCTTTCTGAATGTTCATTATCAATAAGAGCAATTATCACTGAATGTTGAAATTAATTGTTAATGATTCTGTGTTTGACTCCTAAAACACTTGTGGACTGATCTTTAACTTTAGAAGATACATAACCTTGCATATGTACTTTCCAGTATGTATATACATATATATGTACGTATGGTGGCATACAGTTTGAATGAATGCTCTATGTATGTATGTATAGTTAGATGATAAACCTCACTATGTTCTGCATCTAAAGGAGTTTGTTTCTTCAACTCATTGCTAATTTCTAAGGACTTAAACACAATATTTATAATATTAGTTCTTGCGTTATTTTCAACTATTTGACTATTGCAACCTTCTGGACGTAATTTCTCCTTGATTCTTGTAACATTTCATTGCTATAAAATTATAAGTATATACGCAAGTAGTTAAGGATATTTGTCAAGCTCAAATAATTTTACTTGAAACTTTGATTGTTGGATGTATATAAAGGCAGAATATTTCTTACTGTTGCAAATTCCTTACAAATAATGGAACTGCCATTTAATATCATTATCATTGGTTTCAATTAGTTTAACATGTCACTTCATAGATATTCTAAACTATTATTAATGATATTCCAATAGTCTCTCAATTTAGAGTATTGACCTAGAGTTTTAACTATGGTATTGTTGCATATTGTTGGGTGGAATTTGCAGATTTTTGTGGGTTCAGGTGTCCCCTTAACTCGCTGAAACTCTCTGCTCATAGAGGATTTGTGTATTCTATGATCTCCAATAGGAAAATTGGAATCCTCCAGATGAACGGATGGTCTGTCCTCTGGTTGCGGCTTGATGATGATTGGTGGTAGTACTGCCTCAACAATGCACATACGTGAGTGAGTACGGGTGAGTCTATGTAGGAGTTTATCGGCGCGCAAAGGAAAAGGCTCCTCAAAACGAGGATTGTGAGGATGTTACGGGTGAAGATTTCGGGTTTGGAGATTGAACGAGAGAGAGGTCAGAGAGGTCTTTAACTGAAGATTTATAACTTCTGCATTCCTCAATTAGTCTCTTCAACTAAACTCTTGTGGCGGGTACCTTCAGTGCTCGTTTCCGCAACTACCTGATTCGTCACCGATTTGTACATATACCGTCTTTCCGATATTTCCGCATCTAAGACAGAGCCCGCTAGAAAGCCTTATTGATGAGTTCACTAGCAGGACCAGACGAAACACTCTCTTTGTTTTACATCACTCTTCCATCATACGCAGAGCCGCTACCAATTATTCGCACCACTCCGGCCCTGTGATGGAATCATCCGCTCCTCCGTTAAGAATTATGCGCCGATTCTAGCAAACTTGCAGACTGAATCCAGCTCGAAGTATTTGTTGAATATGAACACGAGCAATTAAACACTAACAAAACGACTCAATAAGTATTTGTTTATTGCACAATTAAATGAAAGTTATATAAAACGCGCATACGCAATATTAGAATTTGAACGAATGGAACACGTATCGCGTTGTAGCGAACGTGGCGCAATACAAAGAAGCACGGGGTGATCTGTGGATAACCAGATCGAAGAGCTTCTGGTTATGAGAATTACAATATTAGAATCACTGGTATGGCGAAAACGTGAGAACGATCACGAAGAGCACACAGGCTCAATGGTGACGAGGCAGAGGAACTATATGTCTGTGAAGTCAGTCGTGAGTTCAAACGGAGTGAAATCTACGAGCTACCAGCGGCAAACGAATCGCTTGCGATCGATACGTGACTATGACAAATAGACAGGCATTTCAAGACGTAATCGCGACTCAAATGAAATGACGAACGCACTCAAATAAAATGCACACGCGTGTTTCCCTTCTACTAACTATAATGACCCAATTCCTCGGCCTTGTAGGGGCTTACATACACCTGAGTGGAGCTGAACCACGGCGTTCTCTCCGAGTGAGAAAGCACGAGCACTCAATACGAAAACTGAATCAGGCCCACACTCACACACCCTCTTAGAAATTAGCTGTCGATCCTAACAAGCTCCCAACCTTGCGCGGGTAAAATGCGCAATCAACTAAGTGATGTTAATGTTGTATGATTGTTCGACTGTCTCCCGACTGGTCAGGCAATCCTGGATCACCGTAACAGCTGACTTTCTGTGGTCATCTCGTGTGATGGTTCCTTTGGTCATTAGGTGTGAACTTCTGGTAGTTGACTCCATGCTTTATTAAGGAAACAAAAGATGAATAAGTATGCGATGGCATGACATGCAGTAGCATAAAGTAGGTAGTGGGAGAGGCACAAACAAACTAAAAGCGTAGAAAATGTATACCCTGGCTGAGTACAACATAGAGAAGAAAGGGTGGGCGCGAATGCAAACTCACACACGCAAATTTGTACATATGCTAAACATTACATAAAGCCGACAATATTTATGAAAGAGCGATGTGAAGAAGCGATGTGATTCGTATACACGAATTTGTGGAGATGTTAATTTTCATGCAGAGCCGTGATCTTGCCAGGAGGAACAATAGGCGTAAGTCAAAGAGGAGGAGCGAAGAATCTTCCGACTATAGAGTACGGAACTAGAAATTCGTACTTGATGATTCGTTCAAAAACAAGTCAGAAGAAGGATGTTTACCGATTCGCGTTACCCATGTAATCAAAGAGGAAACAAAGAGGAAAGATCCTACTACAATAGTAATGACCTGCTGCAAGCACTGACTACTTGTAATCACAGGTGCTGCAAAAGAATGCAGATACCAATTCTGGTATTTCGAAATGCCTGGGAAGCATCGTGGAACCTGGACAGCTGACTATCTCTACGAGCATGTTTGAGCACGTCTGAACCCGTCGTCATGTGCTGTCATTGTATAGCCCCATGCAGCTGCAGGTAGCAACTCTACACTGCTGTTTGTTGATTGAGCGCTCATGCAGGTCGAGACCTCATGGTTAATTCCAGCAATTACACGCGGAGCAACGAGAAAAAATGAGAAAACCGTAACGTTTGTTCGTAAAAAATTGAATCAACACAGCATAATTCGAAAGGTTAGAACGACCTTAAATCTTGGGAGAACTAAATAAGGATCTTTGATGCAAACAGAATTACGTTTTCTTTTCGCAAACCGTACAAAGGAAGCAGCACAAAATTAAAAGGAGGAGAAAGTGAAAGAAACAAAAAAATACCGACAGGCGAGTACACTTCGGAGACGAAATCTGCATTTCCGAGTGCAGGAAGGCACAGGAGGCGAAACAAAACAAAGTGGAAGCCGTACAATTTGAAGTGTCACTTACCGGACCGTTGCTTGGACGGTTACAACCGGAAAAGAAATAAGGTTACATAGCAATAATAGAACGTCACTTACCCTTCATTGGGTTATACCCTACATACGTAAAGTGGGGGCTGCCGGTCGACGAATCCTTACGTCAGCTCCTCTCGTCCTTCTCCCTTAGCTGCATTAGGTTGTTGAACTTGAGCCCGTGGCACTAAGCGCAGCTGCACACGGCGACCTTCCTTGTCGAAATTCAAGATGTATCGTCCATTAGCGCTGAGGCGATGGAAGCTGCCACGGTGGATCGCCGCCCGCGGAATTCACATCTCGTATCCTGGGATTAGAATATGTATTGAATCGGACGTATGCAGAGATAAACCAGCTTTATGCATAAATAAAGGTGGCTTAGACTCCCATTCTGGTTGATATGGAACAGTATTCATCAATGGTGTTATACATCCATTGTTGGAGGAGGTGCATAACCAATATCTATACGTGTTTTTATTATTGCATCATTTTTTAGTTCTCTTGTAAGTTCATTAATAAAAGGTGATCGTTTTCTTATACGACATTCTATTGATTTACTCCAACTCCGACTTTGAGTATGCTGATGAGGACTGTAAAGTTTAATCGGAGAATGACTGACCTTTTTTATAGTGCAATCCATACTGCGACTTTGTTGTTGATCTCGTGATCCACCACTTCGCCTTAATAATTTTAAAAAGTTGAGTTAAAATACTTTATTAGGTAAGACACGAATTTATTAAAACTTTTGTTATAATTTTAGAAAAATATGATTCTTACATAATATTTTGAATGTACAAAATCGTATTTTACAAAAAAAATTGACAAGTTATATTGTATACAAGTTTTCTTATGAAAGCTACAATGAAAGCAAAGAAAAATATGATACATTTTAAAATCTTATCTGCTCACCATTCATGTACATTTGCACATCTTCTATGTTGTTATGTCACTTAATCTTTGTTCCCAGCTGGCACTTCTAATTAGGCTCCTTCGTCATTCTGATACAGGACTGAACCTCATTGGTCTTTGACATCTTTCAATATTCATCTTGAAAGGACTTCTGCATCGAAGAGTTCAACTTAATACTATCTGGAGTTTTTTGTCTTAACGAATTTCCCCTTTGATATTCTAGGCTCCTGCATCGTTCATCACGTCTGTGAATATGTATTTGGGTTTGTTACAAACTTTGTTTCTCTGTCATGCTCCAAATAGTTTCAACTTCTGTACCAGATGAGACAACAGTATCAGAATCCAATAAATGCTTAATAGCTTTTTCCTTTTCAGCTGAAAGTTTACTTTCATTGTCGCTTTTTATACGTCACTTCTATGTCCTTCGTGCTTTTGGAAGGATCACGGTGTATTCCTTCATGTTTTTTCTCTTCTCTCTTCCGTTTTTCAAGATTATAAGATCCTTTATAGTCACGACAATGTCTGTCCTTATAAGTAGGTTACAATCATTCTTTCCTACATATTACTACTTATTTAAGGGTAACTACATAAATATTTTTAAATATATTGAATACAATAATGTGTCAAGATAATATATTATTGAAAGTTATGCACAACCAAATTCTGCAATAAATAATAACAGTTGGGATATTATTCTATGTTATTGATGCTACCTACAAGAACCTTTTTGTTCTTGTTCCTTTATGTGAGAACTTTTGAGCTCAACCTCTTTCTTTTCTTCATCACCTTCCCAGGCATCAACGACATCCCAACCTTCCATGAAATCTTCATCGTCAAGAAATTCTTGAAGTTCTTCATCTGGAATCTCTTTTAAACCTTCAATAGCACGCTGTACATCTTCATTTGTAGTCTTTAATGTAGATTCTTTTTTATCAACACTTTGTTTTTCCATCATTTCATTTTGTACATTGTTTTTGACACTTGTATTTTTCATTTTTTTTGATGTATCACACATATTTCTGAAAGATTAACTAAATAGTTGAATTAATTAAATAAATAGCATAAAATATCATTTTTTTATTGATAAGATCACAAAATATTTAAAAAAATGGTTTTTATGGTTATCAAAACTGAAATTGATTAAAAATGTGCCAAAAAGCTATATAGTGTTATTGTATTAATCCTGAGCTTTGAAATTCGCGTAAATGGATCCAAGAAATGTATTAAAATTAACCGTACTGTTGCACAGTATCAATGTATTAAAACGAATTATACTTACATAAAATTCACATTATCCGGTTTATTTAACTTAACTTTTTTACTCCGCAGGCTAAGTAAAATTATACTGATTTTTCAATATACTGAATCTCAAATAATAAACGCACCTCTTAACCTTTCGATGAAACATATAAAATTGATATTAACACTTTCATTACATAAGTCGCATTATCTTTATTTAGAATCAAAATAATTTAAAAAATTGCACATTGCTTTATTTTCTAATTGCGTTTATTATACATTCCTTGTTAAAATCGTGATTAGTTGCTTGCTAGTAGGTTGATTTAATGGATAACGTACGCACTCATTGTTAATAATACTTAGTGCAAGTAAGTTTGCAACATGTGGCGTCTATAATTATATTAATGTATATCGATAATAGCAGAAATGAATAATAACTAACTTGATGCTTTTTAAATTCTGTTATATATTTATTTTTTTTATTTTTTTATATATTGCGATACTTGTGAATCAGAGATCTCCGGAACGCTAAAAGTCAACATATATGTACATATTTGGCAAAAATGCATATTGTCAAATGCATAACAAATTT